GGTGAGAAGCCGCGCCTGCTCCCTGGTTCCCTGCAGACTGAGCCGCACGGGGCCCGCTGCCGGGACCGCACAGAGCTCGGGCTTGGGCTGTGCGTCAGGCGTGTCCCCGGGGTTCCCCTTCCTGCCGACGGCGGCGTAACTCTCGGGAGCCCTTTTTCCCCCGAGGTGGCTTGGGGTAACTGGGCTGTCCTTTCCTTCCGGGCTTTTCTGATGCGCCTTGTTTGCCTCGCCGCAGCCTCTCGGTCGAATCAGGGCCCCCATGTTCTCTGCTCCGCTGCCTCAGATCAGCACGCCCATGTTCCTGCCCCCGGCCCAGGTGGCTTACCCCGGAACAGCGTCACACGTAAGACTTTTTGGCTTGCCTGGAGCGCTTCGCCATCCCCGGGGAACGCGGAGGGAGGGAGCCCTTTGAGAGGTGGCCGAAAGGATGAGCCAGCGAAGCTGGGACCTCTCTCCTCACGCAGCTGCTCGGGCCGGTGAGGTAGAAGGGAAGGGTTAGGGGCATGGATCCGTTGTGCTTCGCGTCGGGGAAGAGGGCAACGGCCACAAGAGAGGGGTCAGAGCCTCTAACGTCGTGTGATGGCTGTGTGCAGAGGGAGGAATTGGTGAAACTGCTGGCCCTGGCTGCAGCTGGCAGGACCAGTAGCTGGAATGTGGGATACGTGATCTGAGCTGGGGTCTCTGACTTCCGTGCCTGTCTCCTTTCTGTTCCCTCGCTGCCCGTCCCAGACCCCGGCTGCCTGTAAGCTGTGTCTAATGTGCCAGAAGCTTGTGCAGCCTGGTGACCTTCACCCCATGGCCTGCTCGCACGTGCTGCACAAGGAGGTGAGTGTGCTTCCCTGCTGCGCGCCGCTCTTGGGTTCCTCGTAGCCGTTCCTGGTGCCGATTCCCTTCCGGGGGCCCTGGGCACGTGTAGCGAGTCCCTGTTGTCCCGAGATCTTGCCAGGAGAGGGGTGCGATCAGTAAACAACTTCTCTGCGTCCCGTCATCCCCCCCCCCCCCCCTTAGCTGGGCCACCCCGAGTGGCCTTTTGGTGGCGGCTTTAGGAACAGGCTGTCCTGGTTCCTGCCCCCGAGCCTGTGCTCGTTGCTAGGAGGGTTAGATCCTGGCCTTTTGCCTTCCTGGAGCAGGACGGTCTGGGAGGATCTAGAATACAGGGCGATGGAGAGAGCTGCCACCGTCGCCCAGGTGTCTGGGCACCGTGGGTCCGTGCGCAGGAGCTCTTGGGAAGAGGAGGAGACTTTCTCATCCCGCAGTGCTGGCAGTGGTTCACCTGTGTAGGCAAAGCCCTCATCCCAGTGGCTCTGGGGCCTCCAGCAACTGCCGAGGAAATGGAAAACCATGTATTGAGGAGGGGCTGATGATGCTGCTAGGTTGAAGAGGGCTCCCTCCACCTGGCGACCTTTTGATGGAGGCTGTCTCTAAGGAGCAAAAGAGACCATCCCTTAAAATGAGCGCCCTTGCCGGCACCGATCTGGAAAAGTAATGCCACGCTGTTCACAGCGCCTTTGAGTTGTGCCAGTGGCTCTTGACTAATTCTCTCTCTTCCAGTGCATCAAATTCTGGGCACAAACCAACACAAATGACACTTGCCCCTTTTGTCCAAGTCTCAAATGACGGCTACCCGAACAAAGCGGTCCCCCGGGAGGAGTTGCTGTGAATAGACAGGATCAGTTCTAAGATTTCTACAGTTCTATATTTATACGACCATGTATACACATGTACATTTTTATTATATAGGTAATGTGTGTATAGAAAGTCTGTATACATACAAATTCATAAATAAAGTGTGTATATTATGCAGTGATTTGGTGCTGCTCCCTGTTTCTTAGTTCGCAGCCTTGCTGGCTCCCTTTTGGAGGAGCTGCTTGCCGGGACTCCCGCGGCCGCTGTAACTACCTCTTCCCGGCAAGCGGGTCCCCGGCCGCGTCCATCCGGTGCTGGGGGTGCTCGCCCGGCACCTCCCCTCTTGGCAATGAACAGGTGGCAGCTGAAGAGCGTGTTTTGTGGTCCTTTTTTAATGTAGTAATAATTTACCGTGTTAACATTCATTGTTCTTACACAGACAGTAGGTTACAGAGTACTGGAGTCTGCAGCGACAGCCTGCGGTAACCGTCCCCGTCCCCCTCCTGCGGGGCAGAGTTCCGCACGCGCCTTTACCTGCTGTTCCCCGCTGTAACTCTGGGCCCCGGGGAGGGAGCGCTCGGGAGCGAACGGATTCGGCTGTGCTGCAGCTCAGGATAACCAACCTGTGGCAGTTCCTAGTTTCCCCTCTCCTGGACTTTCTCCTAAAGCACGGGCTGACGCACCGACCCTTTCTCCATGGATTTCGGTGGGATTACGAGGTGCTCAGCACCACTTAAAATCTTGCACTCGCTCTGTAGAATTTTCCCCCCCCTTACTGGCCGTCTGTGGCACAAATTCAGCACCGCTAGAGGCACCTACGCCTCAGGGTTGGCCCGGGCAAGCGCTGCCTGGGTGCAGCCTGCCTGAATTTGGCCACAGTCCGAATCTCTCTACACGCACGCACGCGCGCGCTTGCCAGCGCGTTTTAAGGCAGTGGTCCACAACAGAGTCTCTGGGCTCCTGGGGGTGGGGGGGGTGTCCTGGGCAGGCAGGAGGGCGCGGAGGTCTGTGCGCGCTCT